ATCCTGGCTAGATGTTTCTGAGTCTGTCTAGAACAGATGGTTACCTAAGGTCCTGTACAATCCTGGCCTTTATTATTTATACACCATGTGTCTTCTAGGATAGAACACAAGTTATTTCTGCTCTTCCTTTTGTCTTCCTCCAATGTCCTCGCTCAGCATTTACATCTTTCTTGATACCAACAAGACTCCATAATGCACTGAACTCCCTCCAGTGCTACACTTCCAGTAGCTATTTGTTTGGATTCAAACACAGCTCATTCCAACCTCATCCTATATAAGAGTAAAATAAATGTTTCTTCAATAGTGAGTGTTGCTCAAAACTGTGATGCTCTGGCATATCAAGGGTGAGGGGAACCTGAAAAAACCTTTAGTGTTCTGGGTCAGAATTGCTTTACCCCAGGGAAACATTATTGGGAGGTAAAAGTAAATATAGGGACATAATATTGACCTGCAACTAGGTGGGCTCTGGGTGTTTCTCAGATATAGTGAGGAGAAAGAGGTGGTTTGTAGAAAGTCCAGATAAGAAATTCTGGGTAGTGTGAGGAATGTAAAAGACATGGCTTTCACCACTCATCCAGAGCCTCTTTCACTAAAGCAGACCTCTCATAGGCTAGGAATTTTTCTGGTTCTTTACAACATGGTTCATGGGCCCCACATCTTCCTTTGCTGGAAACACCTTCTGTGAGACTCTCTGCCCTTATTTTTGCCTTTATGTAGACCTCTGAAAAATGTGAATAACGTTGAATAACAAATGCTAGCACCCTGAAGATCTATGATCATCTAGATCTATGACTATCTGCTTAGCTTTAGATCACACAGAAAGTATTGCTAATTCTTCTCCAAAGACCTCCATGACTCTCTTAACAAATGGTACAGAAGTTCCCTAGGAAGCAAACTCCCTTTATCCCCATAAGAAGTGAAATGTTGCTACCACCCAAGCTCCTTATAGTCTGTTCTCCAAGAAAGTTGTCCTTGGAAGGTAAGTAGATCAATGAAATCACTTAGTGTGATTTCAGCCTTTTTCAGAGAGTGAGAGGCAGAAAGAGCAACAAGAGAACTGGAAAAAGTCTACGGGGATCTGCTCTAGTTTTACCATTGGGAAAATGCAGTCTCCTTATGGGCAGCAACAATTCATTACAAGAAAATTCTGAACATGAGATCTCTCTCGTGTTTTGGTGCTGTGTGTTGAAATAAATACTTTTGACTACATTTAAAGAGAAATACATATTTTTATACTTTTTGTTGCTATCAAACCATGTAGGAAAGGTGGTGTTTGAAGGAGGGATTGTGATCAATTGTTCAATGAATTTTCCATATATGCTCCTTCTGTTGGAATTGCAAAGAAATCTGTTCAAATGTTTTGAAAAAGCTCAGCTTGTCAATTCTTCAGCCTCTGTTGTCCCATTAACATCTAATATTGGATTTTTTTCAAGGGATGGAGCAGTCTGGTATGTAACCATAAATCATTTGAGAAGCTCAAGATTTCTGGAGAGAAAAGAGTGCTTATTTTTAAAAGGTTCTCACTGGTTAGCAAACCCAGTTTGTGTGCCATCTGAGAATGTAATTGAAAAAAAATTGCTATTGTAGTTCAAGTTTTCAAAGAGAAAACGTTAGGTAGGAAAGGTGAAACATTTGTAGTCTTCATGGAGAAAGAGTCATTGTTAACATTGGTATTTTCTTTTTCCTTTCTAACCACATTTTTCCACATTGCTTCCCTTTACTATATCTAGTTTTCTCCAGTTCCTTATCACAAAATTTATGTATTTGAGGATATAAAATATGAGTTTCTCCTCTCTTTCCCATATGGAAAAGATCCACTTAGATTTTTCTAATACACCAACAGATGTTTAAACCTCTCACAACTTCTCTTGGAGATGTACCTACTTGGTGATATTTCCCCTGGCATACAGTCAATGAGTAGCAAAGTTATTGATTGAACCTTGGAAGAATAAATCCAGGGCCCAAAATCTTGAATTTACTGACAATAAAAGAGGGCCTGTATGATTCAAGAAAGAAATAGTGAAGGCAGAAAGGGGGTAAGCAAGTGGTGGGAAAATATTGGTAAGTACAATCAAATGGACTGGTGGGTGGAAAGGGATTTCTGGACATGAAAACTCTATACAAGGGAGTAACAACAAAACAAGAACAAATGGAAATGGAACTCCTGCTACAGAACAGGAGATAGTGGATGTGGTTTTAGATATGTTACTTCTGTTGTACACTCAGGACATTTATAAGCATGAGGTTCCCAAATGAGTTCTAAGTGTCTCTCCTACAGTACCTAAATTTGTGGTATGTTCTCTAAGAGTCTTCTGTCACTTCTCCACTAATTTTTAATGAGTTTTTGTCCTTCTTAGTTTAGAGATTGGGGAGAAATGGCTGAACATGGACAACAAATGAAAATGAGAAGGTTGGTGGTCTGTTAGAATCAGAATTGTAGAAATGTCAGGACTAGTAATGTTCATCTTATCCTCATCTGTACCTGTCAGCAAATCAATATGCAGTGAAGGGTCTCCATGGATTCTGGCAAAGTAATGACTTTGAATTCACTATCTGATCTCATCAATTAATTCTTTATTATTAGACTACCTTGTAAATCCCATTTTGAGTAAAGTTTAAAAAAGCATGATAAAGACTTGATTAGAATAAAGGAATACCTGAGGGCAGAGAGTAGGATTATATCTCTAGTACTAGCAGTAGTGAGTTCTACAGTGCTCAAGAAATACTTATCTATGAAATTATTTATGCATTTCATAAATGTTTATTGGTCAATTAATATAAGCTGCTTTTGAGGTTGGAAGGATACACAAAAAGGAAGAAAAAAATCATTGCCCTGATGGATATTTATATTCTACTGATAAATGAGGGGAAAAAACAGAGTGGTTAATTAACTTAATCTTTTAGTTTCCTCCCTGAAACTGAGATCCACTCAATTTATACATCTATTGTGAAAGTCACCCTGCTCTGCATGACTACATCCAGCTAGTCTACACATCAGGAATGAGAAGGAACAGATCCTTGATGGACCAATCAAATTGCTTATTCATTAGCCAGTGGTTGATACTGTCATCCTCAAGCTGCAATCCTACTTCTTCCCTATAGTTTTTCTAACTGTAATTGGGATTGATAAAGTAAATTAGTCATAAATTTTGGAAGCTAAAAGTAATTATGTTCTTTTATGTATAGCAAGGGAATTGGTGTGATAAAACATACACATATACATTTTCATGAGTCTTTTCTCTAGCTGATCCTACACATTTATACACACAGCCTTCAAAAGCACAGGATAGTAAGCAAAAAGCTGGATTAATAAATTAAGATGAAACATTCCTTGCCTTCCACCAAAATAGCAGTTAACTTTCAGGCATTATTAGTAAAACATTTTAAATTACATTAAGTCAAAATAGAGTAACATGCTGAAATATTTTCAAAGATACAATGTTTACTAATAAATATATCTTCAAAAATATAAAGGGTGTATCAATGTATCACAAAGCATAAATAATTTGTCAAACCTTTTAGAATGTACAATTCAAAATGTGTGCCCTAGCCTGGCGCAGTGGCACATGCCTGTAATCCCAGGAGCTTGGGAGGCTGAGGCAAAAGAATCATGAGTTCAAAGCCAGCCTCAGCAAAAGTGAGGCACTAAGCAACTCAGTGAAACCCTGTCTGTAATTAAAATACAAAATAGGACTGGGGATGTGGCTCAGTGGACGAGTGCCTGAGAATTCAATCCCTGGTACCAAAAACCAAAAAAAAAAAAAAAAGTGTGCCCTAATGTAAACTATGGACTTTAGTTGAGATAATGTATTAATATTGGTTCATCAGTTGTAACACATTAGGAGAATATGTTAATAATAAGGGAAACATAGTGTTGGAAAGGTGTATGGAAAATCTGGATTTGCTATTCAATTTTGCAATAGAACTAAAACTGTTCTTAAGCATAAAGTCTGTTGATTTAAAAAAGGAAGTAAGTATTCATTATGGCTTGGATGAATTTTGAAGATATGCCAAATAAAACAAAACACACACACACACACACACACGCACACATGTGCATGTGTGTACATTTTCTGCAGGACAGTTTTCTGGGTGAACTGATTCAGTTCTCCCCCTCCCTTATTTGCAGTTTTCATGAATGACTTTAGAATATTCTGGGAGTGCAAAATCCTGATAAGGAAGTACATGAAACAGACTGGGCCTTGCTCCTGTTCCTCTTGGGTATGTAATATAATGAGTTAGGGGAAACTGCCCAGGACAAAGTGTTGCTCCTCTCATCACTAGAAGGATGTCCTTTAAACCTTTGCCTAGTGAGTCGCATGGTTCTGAGGTATGCAACCCTCGGTACGCTGCCTTTCCAGGTCCTGTAGCTGTGGTGCAAGTGAGACTCAAGCAGTCAAGGATCCATCCACTTGAGCAGCTTTCTGGAGCATTGGGGCACTGGCTTATGATAGATCTGAGACTTTTTGTGTCCCTTGTTGCCTATCTGTAGGCAGTAAACCTGCTTCATATACTTTCATATAGATCACTCACTATCTTAAAGTGTGAATGATTTCATAGCACAAACAAACAGGTAATCAGTGCATGGTGGAGCTAAACAGTGTCCTGATACAGTGTATAGACTCCTGCTTCTGGCAGAGTGATGATCTTCCTCTCCTCTAGGTGATGGGAATTCTCTCATGGGATTGGTAATTAGCGAACCTGCTTTACATTTTATGATTACATTTGTATAAAAAATCTAGAGTATAGAAACAGTATAATTTGCAGAGACAGAAAGTAGAATAGTAGTTGCCAGGGACTTGGAGCAGGGAAAATGAGTAGTAACCACTTAGTAGGTATGACATTTCTTTTCTGGAGTTGGTGGGGGAATGTACTGAAACTATATAGTGAAGATGGTTGTACAACATTGTGAATGTACAGAGTGATACTGAATTACATGCTTTAAAATGATGAATTTTATTCAGTATGTACTTTACCACAGTTGAAAAAATAAAATAAATTTGTAAATACTTGAGAGACTACCAATTTCAAACATGAGCTTATGAGTTTAGAAACAGAAAGAAAATGTTATGACCCAAAAGATAGCCTCCAGAATGCTGTAGATGAATGAATGATCCTCAAAGGACAGTGACAACTTTGTGATGTTTGCATCCTGGAAAGCAGCAGTGTCATTGTCAGATATCCCTCATTCTCACTTCATGAGACTTTAAGACTCTTTTTTAAAAGATGTAACAAAACAATTTATAACTACATTTTATATAGTGTAATATTTAATCTCATACAGTACTTTGAAGGAACATATACTGGAAAGTAGGCCACCCCAACCCATCACCTTCATCATTGTCAATGTTCTCTAATTTAACTGTTAAGACTCTTTCTTAAAAATCTTTTTTAAAAAACAACCATTCTTTCTTCTTCCATATAAAGTTTCTCTTCTTTAACTTATTATCACTTTACTGTTTACTACTTGTTTCATTTATTGCTTACATTTATAATTATTAATTTTAAATTGTGCACTTTAATTTGCTTTAAAAATTAAAATGATTTTGTCATACACATGATACATAATTAATTTTTCTCTTGGATTGGTATTTCTAAAAATTTTCCTTACTCCTCGTTCTCTCTTAACTTTTGGAAAAAATCTGCAGTAGAGATTTCATAATACAGCACATTATAATTTTAAGATTATATCTTAGTGATCATATTTTTCTCTTTATATACAGCTGTTTTCTCTCAGTGTTCTTTAACTGTATTTTTTGTTTTCTCAGCTTCACTTACATGATCAATTTAATTGCCACCACCTTAAAATAACTGATCGGATATTTCTTGATTGCTTTCATTTCCTTCTATGTGCTAAATTGCATTTCCTATTGGATTTTGTAAGGATTTGGTCATATGATATCAGAATGTAATCAGGAGTTAGAATATCACAGAACTTGGACTAAGACAGGCCTCTGATGGGATCAATGGTGACAAGAGCCCCCTTCCAGCAGTTGGTAAAAGGAGGACAGTTCCAGGACTCTCGTTATCATCCTGTTTTCCAGAATTCAAGATTGTTGTTTCCCTTGGAGATGTTGAAGGGGTCCTTCTGGGTGCAAATATACAGAGAACCTATATCAGGGGACACAGGATGAAGAGTGGGTGCAGAATTCCAGAGAAGAAAGTTTGGGGAAAGGTGTAGAGTGGGCTCTTGTTGATCATGTTACAAAAGAAAGATGTCTAGAGGCACAGTCAGGGAGACTCTGACCACCCAGGGGCCACCTCAGGAGGAGAAGGTTTGGAGGAGGAGAGGTGATGGCCCAGTACACATTTACATAGCAACTATTGCCCAAAACCCATGATGGTCAGAATTTGTTTACTCCAGAGAAACATTATTGGGAGATAAAAGTAAGTATAGGGACAGAAGAAAGACTGAAACTAGGTGGTCTCTGGGTGTTTGTTAAGATACACCAGGAGAAAGGAGTGGCTTATAGAAAGTCCAGATAAGAATTTCTGGGTAGTGGAATGTCAGGTGACACAATGATGACTGTGACACAATGACGACTTTTCCTCAAGACATTGTCCTTGATACCAGGGACCCATCACCTGACCCCTTCCTCTCAATACCACCTTATGGATGTGAGCCATTCATGGTTCAGCAGGTAGAGCAGAGAGTCAGATCTCTGTGGGATGTCTAGCTGCATGAATGATCCTGGGTCATATCCTTGTGTTCCTCAGAAAGACTCAGTTTCGAGTGAGTTGTATTAGGATCAAGGGTCATATTCAATCTAAAGAAAAAAATTCATTATGATAATATATCAATTTCTAAAAGTATTAATTTCCTGCTATTAACATATAAACAGGCGAACAAGCTTTATGACAAAAGAAATTTAAAGTAGACAAACTTTCTGGGGTACACAAAATAACTTGTCAATATGTGAGATGACCTTCATCAATAAAGCAGGAATCACCAATAAGTAGGCCATTTCATTATTACAGGTCTTAGAGAAATGTTCATGCCAACAGAATCTCAGTGACATCTGAGCTCTTAGCCTTGACAATAGGATGACTATGCTACCAACATCTCTTCTTCCTTTCCCTTAACTGACTATCTGAGGAATGGCCCCAGGGATTCAAATTATTGTTTTTTTTTTTAATTCTGTTGCTTCTAATATCACTGTAAACCCCAAGTTCATTCATCATTGAGTCTTGATTACATGAATGTAGACTCATGCTTCATTAATTACCAAATATTCACTGAATGCCTCCCACATGTGATTGCTGAGAAGAGAGGCCAGGAAAAAATACATTGTATGTTCGACCACAAAGTGCACTTCACACTGGTCCTGTTTTCCTAACTTACCTTTCTTTTAGTTCTTCCTCCAGATTATGCCTATGGCCATGGCAAGAAGCAATCCCAAAACAGGTAGTATTGCCCATGAAAATGTCATCCTGGACTCTGAAATGGAAATCCCCAAATCCCAGTAAATCATGAAACTAGGAAAATACCAAGTGCATTTTTTTATCTGAGCAGTTCCTGGGTTGGAGAGGAGGAAGAGAAGTAGATCTCTCAAGGAAGCAGTGGGTCCCCTTTTCCTTGCTGAGGGAGGGAAGACTGTAAATTTATGTCTAGCTAGCTTTAGTGTTTGTTACTTTCAGAAATGTACATACACAATTATTCTCCCTTCTCTTTTTCCAATCATATCACAGTCACTGGAATAATGGCAAAATAATAAAATTACCCAGGCCACAGCCATAAAGATAGTGTTAAGGAAAATTATTTTCTAATCCATAATAAAATTCACCAGAAAGGAAAAAACAAAGTGCTAAAATTCTTTTCATATCAGAAGAGAATTTGTAGATACAGAGAATTAGAGGCAATAATTAGAATTTAGTGCACAGCCAACAATAAATATAACTTTAGAGCTGTATCTGGGTTATAAGCAAGAAACTCAGAGGAGTAAGATCCCTATGTGTCCTGAAGATAAGCTTTGTCAGAGATAGCAGGATATCTCATTAGAATTATATATAGACATGTATATTTTTATATTCGGATACAGAAAGCAATAAAATGAGAACATCTGAGTTGGTCTTAGTATTTAATTCCAAACCTGAGAGGAATATACAGAATCACCAACCTGAGAGAGTAAAAGCCGCTGTTTTCTCCTCACCCAGAGGGAGGTTGCTGATGGAACAAGTCACATTTGCCAATGAGCTGTTAGTGATCAATAGCAATGTCTCCACATGGAACAGCCCATGGCTGTCTGAATGCAGGATCTCAGAAGCTGATGGTATTGTCTTTCCTTCCATGTCCCTCCATTGCATGTGGGGTGGTGGGAACCACCCACTTGCAGTGCACATCAGCTGTACCTCTCCATCTGTCAGCACCTCCATGGTGATCCTCGGGGAAGAACCCACAGCTGGGAACAGAGACCAAGGAAACCAAGAATGGAGCCTCTGCTAGTGGTTGTGTTATTGGTGACTATGTTTGAGAAGGGCTGGGAAGATTCAGAGGGCTTGCAGGAAGAGAGAAAAATCTTAAGGGGAAATGACACTCCACCTAGAGAAAGACTGGCTGGAGTGTTTTCTTGTTTTGTCTTATTTATTTATTTTTATATTCCTGAATCATCCAGGGACATATATAAAGGTAAAATTTAAGATTTTAAATTCAACCTTTTTTTGCCTGAGAACAAAATAACTGACAGGATAAAAGAACCTAGGTAAGAGAATATTCTTAAAGATTAAAATTATAAATGTTCATATCCAATGACAGAAAAAGATGGGCCCCTTTAACTTCTCAACGTGTGTTTCTGTGGATATTCCCTAAATATGTTTATTAACTTAGATTGAAAATCCATGGGAGACATATTTCAGATATTCAAGATTTTTACCTGTGTCCTCAATGACATTTGCTAAACTTGGAAAATAAATTCTAGAGAGTGATTTTCTTTCTTCCTCCATTCATACCAAGATTGTCAATCCACATTATTTCTGTTTACTTGGTATATCTAGTTTAGTCTTCAAATTATTATACTTCCTGATATATTTCCCAGAATTTTAATAACATACTGTGTGAAATAATGAATCCTGTATAAAATAGAGTAAAATTCTCAGACCTCTTTAAATATATGGTAATTTTGTGGACATACTCAGAAGTATACAAGTTCCATACACAAAAATTAAATTTGGTTTGTTGGAATTTGTGGATTTTAAGTATCTATGATAGTTCCTATACATTGGTGGTTCAATATAAATCTGATAGCAAGTAAGCATTAAGAAAACTTTCAGTGCTACAGAAATTATCTAGTAACATGTTAAAGCAGTAGGAACAGGTGACAAATTCAAAACATCTATCTAGAGTCCTTACCTACCACCTTCAGATCCAAACTGGCTTTCTGGTAGACACCATCTTTTTCAAAAAGGCACTGGTACTGCCCTTCATCTGAAGTTGTGGCATTGTGTATCTGCAGGGTCAGTCTCCCCTCGTGGATGGCATCAGTCACCAGTGTAGTCCTCCCTCTGTAGTCTACCATCTGCTCTCGAGCCACATGGTCCCCATTCATATACACATAAACTGCAGGATAATGGTGGGCTTGGACCCACCTCACCTCCATGCTCTGTGCATTAGTCTTGGGGAACAGGGAACAGGTCAATTGTATGTCTTCTCCCACTCTGACAATGATGGGCTCAGAAGGTCCAATCACTTTTAAAGATGCTATTAAATACAGAAGACAAAATACAAGGAACAAATCAAAATGGAACAAATAAATGTCACCAACAAGTGAATTTCTAGTGTGGTTTAAAACCCATAACTTTCCTATGTTCATATATGAATACATGACCAGTGAAACTCCACATCATGTGGAATTGCAAGAATGGGATCCTTGATCCACTTTGAACTGTTATGTATATCTAAAAAAACAAATAACAGCAACAATAATAATTATAGAATGGGATCCTAATTAGAATAATTTATATTCTGTGTATGTATAATATGTCAAAATATACTTTACTATAATGTATATATGCAAAGAAAAATAAATTTTTAAAAAATACATTCAAAAAATTAAAATTAAATATATATCCCATAGGCATCCTGGGGGAGGTATGAGGCTTAAGGTCATCTCTTGGAAAGATGAGATCTTGTGATATTAAGATACAGGTTGTCCTTGTTCCAAGAAGAACCTTTCCAGGATGTATGCCAATCTGAAAAAAAAAGGGTCACTACCCACTCCTTCCCAAAATTTTATGCAGTTTAAAAACAAATGATAGAATAAATTTAAAGTTAGCACTCCCAGAATAAAATAAATATTTTTATCACTTCAAAGCTGGATGACTACTTTCTAATCTGAATATGCCTCCGTTTCTTAAACTATAAATTTTGCATATTACTGCCCAAACCATAGGATTGTTACACAGTTAAACAAAATAACCTATATAAGCCGGGTGGTGGCACACACCTATAATCCCAGTGGCTTGGGATGCTGAGGCAGGAGGATCGAGAGTTCAAAGCCAGCCTCAGCAAAAACCGAGACACTAAGCAACTCAGGAGACCCTGTCTCTAAATAAAATACAAAATAGGGCTGGGGATGTAGCTCCATGGTCAAGTGCCCCTGAGTTCAATCCCTGGTACCCTGCCCCCCAATAACCTGTACAAAGCACTTAGATGACTGTGCAGCATGAGCATAAGCATAGAGACCTGAAAGTCTTTTAACTACTGTAGGGAAATATGAAATGATCCCTCCAAAGCACTTATATACATGGCATGTAATTAAGATTTCCAAAACTAGTCATTATTGTTATAAGTCAATAAAATTATTTGCCAGGGTATGAGCTCTGGAAATAATAGGGTTGAGAATTGTGTTGGCCCATGGCCCTTTGCATGGGTGCTTCCTCTGAGCCCCTAATTATGAGGATACCACAGAGGCAGCAGCTATAGAACTCCTGAACTCTTCAGTTACCACAGCACATCCTCCCACCTCCTGGGGCACAGCCCTCCCCACCTGGCAAGGAGCAAAGGGAAGTTCTGTGCTTTTATCCTATATAATTGTGGTCCTGGAAGGTCATCAAAATTTAGGAACAACACAACATAGGATTGTATTTTGTGTGCTGGGTCTCCAGTGGGCATGCTGAGTTGGCTCAAGAACTCAGATGCGTGACTTTTTGCCTAAGACTTTCCTGAGGGACAGAGACTTGCGTCAGCCTGCCCCAAACACTGGCTTAGCTTCCTAATGTGTCACTAACAAGTTCTTCTCCTTAAAGTTTCTGTCTGATCAGGCACATTTACTGCCCTAGGCAGAGGGAGATCCTGCTGGAAAGGCTAAGCTCACAGGACTGGGTTTGTCCTCAAGTTGTGGAGCTATCTTTGACCTTCCTGAGGCTCATCCCTTTATATTTGTGGCCCCATGGAGTCAAAGGTGTCACACTAGATTCTGGCAGAGACTGGAATTGTGTTTACCATCTTAATTTCCCTCAAAAACTCCTACATGGGTTAAATAAAGTATGCTTAAGCCCTTTACAATTGCACGCACAAACACACACACACTTCCACAGGTGACTTGATGGACAATGGTACAGATGAAGGATATAATGAGCCATTCAGGTTCATGTGTATGTAAATAGAGAGCAGATGCATCATCATGGGCTAGGAGAAAAGCCATAGAAACAATAAATTGGAAGGAGGTAAAGGAAACTGAAAGGGGCTCAAACATCATTTGGTTATTTTTTAAATTACATCTTAGGCATGGTAAAATAATATCTGCTGTTCAACTACCAGGTAAAAAAAATAAGTAAATAAAAACCACATGAAGAAAAGGAAAATTATCACCCCAGTGGCAGGATCTCAGGTGCACTTAACAGCTTCCTTTCGATAGTGATGAGGTTAAGGACCTTCTGGGGTGAGAAGCAGGTGCAGGACCCATAATGACTAGAGGGTGGGAGTTGTGGGAGGTGACTTCCACTGACAGTGCCCTCACTGGCAGTAGGAATATTTTAAAAGGGCCTCTAAAGCTGGCCAGCTGACCCATACCATCCTGTGCACACGCCAAAGGCAGCTCCCTTTCTTCTAGACCCTGGCAGAGATGATGTACAAGTCCCCAAATATGTCATCTGGGTCTTGATTGGATCCCCATGATCTCCCAAAGTAACAGGTTACATAGCAGAAAATTCCCCAAAGGGGACTGTGGAAGACTGAGCTTTGCTGGTCTCCTCTCATATAACTTAACAGGGCACTGGGAAAGCCCTGCCTCGACGTCTCATCCAGATCCCAGTTCCGAAGCAGCTCCATAAGCTCCGCCCTCCTCTGGGGCCAGAGAAGTGCACCACCACGCCTGTGGGTCCTACTCACCCAGCTCACTCTGGAGTTTCTCTGGAAAAAAAAAGTGGGGTGGGGTGGAGAATAACGTATTAAGGAATTTGGTGTAAGGGAAAGGAGAGAAACTATTTCCAAGAAATAAAAGCCAGCTCTATGAAATGTGGAAAATATTTTTTCTACACATCATATGGTGATCCCATTTGCCTTTCCTTTTATCTGCACAACAAAAACGCTATCAGATCTATCAACCCAATAATGCTGTTTGTTTCTAATGATATTTATCTGTTAAAAAATAACACATACCTGTTTTTATAAATGCATGGAAACTATAAAACTGTACGGACATAAACAAGTATTGCTTATAATTCCAAACTAAGAATATAGAATATTGGTTTTTTAAATTTTAATATGTAATATCATACTTTTTATTTTAACCTATTTATAAATAATAATAAATCCAAATATTTAGAGTGTGCCACTTATAAGTTATTTAAAACCAATAAGTTTTTACATGATTAGAAATGTTTATTGATAGATGGACAGACAGATGTAATGTTTATCATTGAGTTGTACATCGTGAGATTATTTAAACCTCTAAAATTCTTCAAAAATGTTTTTTGTCAATATTATAGGTTTTGTAAAAAAATATTTTTTTTTTAGTTGTAGGTGGACACAAGACATTTAATTAATTAATTAATTAATTTTATGTGGTGCCGAGGATCCAACCCAGGGCTTCACACCACTAGGTAAGTGCTCTTCCACTGATCTACAAACCCCTCTTGCTATAGGTTTCATTAACATAAGACACACAACACTTCACTATCCATTTGGGTTTTTTTTTAGTATTTTATTTTTGCTATTTGTAAATAAGATAATAATTTAGATGCTGCTGTGTAAAGACTTCTATCTCTGATTACTAACATATGACAGATTCCTAGGGGTAATTGGCACAACACAGCATAGGAAAACATTTTAGTTGAAATGATATCTACAATGTAATAAATACTTGTAAGTAGAAAACATCAATGCAAATAGATGAAAAGGTAGAACTTGAAAATTACTGAAGTAATTAGTGGCTATTTAATCAAAATGCAATATATATATATATATATATATATATATATATATATATATATATTATAGTGGTAAATGTTTTATGCATTTTAATACATATTATTAAATGGTAGTACTTTTCCTGACAAAAAATATGAGTTGTTGCTGCTGCACAGTTCTGAAGTTCTGCTGCTGACCTAGGCATCTGGTCCCAGAGGCAGAGCACTGACCTGGGAGGGCAATGACTGCCCCCTTGACCTCTGTGAGGACAGGGTTGTAGATGAAGCAAGACACAGTTTCTACAGACATATTCCTGATCACAAGGGTGTCTTCCACGTAGAACAGGCCCTCTTCATCTTGGATGTGATGCTCGGAGACAGTCAGCAACCTCTGTCCTGTGATGTCTTCCCAATAGACCTGGGGCTCTGGGAACCAGCCCTTTGCAGTGCACACAAGCTGGACCTCACCTTCCCTGGGTCCTTCCATGTGGATGTTAGGGGCAGACCCCACATCTGTGGAGGGAAGTCACAGCTCTGAGCTCTAGAGCTCACAGAGGTACAAACTCTGGAGACAGATCTCAGTGATGTTGCTCACAGGGAGATGGTGGGAGCTCAGGGATTGGGGAGCAGAAAGTGTTCCAAATTTTTTTTCCTATTTAAGTTGGAGCTCTGATACATTTTGCTTGTTCTCCAATCTGATTTTTAAATTTTAGAACTTGAATATTTTTTTCAGGACAGGAAAATAAGAGGGAAGGGAGGCATCATAACATTTCTTTGTGTCTCTAGTACTGTAAACAAATGTGCTGTAATTTATTCATTAGATCTTTTATTCTCTGAACACTTTTCCTCTTAATATTGTCTGTTTCAGGCACTTTGTCTGAAATTTTGAACGGTATCTGGAATCTAATTTAAACAAAATGTTTAGGACAAATTTAGAAATCACCTCCATGGGTGATTCTTTTCATTTCTATTTATTTTGTTTGTGGTTGTAATCTTGGGATGCAGTAGACAAACTGCATGAAGATTCTTGTATTAAAATATTCTATCGGAGATGTTCTGTTAGGAAAAACATTTTTAAGAAATCCTAAAGCAATTAATGTAGTCATGAAATCCTTTCTCTATTCAACACTACACCTCTCAAAACCAAAGGAGACTATATTTTCTGTAGATGGATATTTTGTCTTTATCAATTGTGGATAGAAAGAGATCTACTCCCTTACCTGTAGTAATAGAAAAGTTTTGCCTTAATTTTAAATGTCTCAGAAAGTGCAGTGCATCAGTATGTACCCACTCCACTCATATCTCAGAGTCCCATGATTCCTTTGTTTTAAATGATCTTGAACATAGTAACCATTCATAATCATGAGTAATAAAAAAGGTGTTAGGAATAAAGTAAATCAGTGTCAGAGATGTTAAAATCTCCAGAGAACTGCTCTCCTGTTGAGGTAAAGAATTTGCCTGATTTTGCCTTAAGCACAATGGAGGAGCTATTCCTGTCAGGTTTACTTTTCAGATATTTCCCCACAAGATAGACCGTTATTTCCTTCCTTCCCACTCCTTCCTCCTTTGCTAACATGATAGCATTCTGAAGAACCCTGCCATCCATGGTGGGTGCTTCCAAAGGCACTTGTGAGCCCCTGATTCATTGAATATGAAATATTATAATCTCTATAAAAGCACAAAGCTCCTAATTTCTTTTGCCTCATCAGCTGATTTCTAATAAGGGGCATAAGACAAAAAAAAGTTTCACATTTCATTACTGCATAGATGAGGTTGGTAAAGTGACAACCCATTCCACTGAGATACAGATGCTGGACAGTCAGATGGCCATAGCAATTGACTTGCTCTTGTCCATCAGCCTTATGTGACACGAATTTGTGTCCTAGCAAAATTGTTGATGATTACATGTCATGGCTTTCAAATAATCCTTAAGGACTGTCAAAATTCAGGTGAATTAAATTTTGGAGAAAACTTTTTGTGAGCTTCCTTTGGAGATTCTGGAACCACCTGTTTTCAGATGGCTCAGGGTAGAGGACTGGGCATTAGGAAACTGCTATGTTGATTCAAAGGGAATTCTTCAACTGACATTAAACTTACCATTAATTAATATATTTCTCCCTCTGAGACCCAGTTTTTGCCCAGGTACTCACTTGCTACTTTGAGCAGCAAGCTTGTCTCTTCATGATAGTTCCCCTCCTGGAAATGGCACCAGTATTGCCCATTATCAGATGGCTGGAGGTTGTGTATCTTCAGAGTCACATTTCCCTTGGCAATGTTGTCATCTATCCACTCTATCCGGTCTCTGTACTCCTCCACCTGCATCTGGGTGACCTCAACTCCATCCCAGTGTGCAATCACAGGTGTGCCAGGCTCTGAGCGGTACCACCTCACCTCCATGTGCATTGCAGTCCTCTTGGGGAAGAGCTGACAGGTTAGTAAGGCATCTTCCCCAACCCTGGCCAGGATAGGATATGCAGGACCAATCACTCTAAAGTCATCTACAAAAAAATGAAAAAGAAGAATCAGAAATGCCAACCAGAGGAACAGTATGCTTGCTTTTTGCGTGTCCAACCTGTTAGAATAGAGGGATCTATTCTAAATAAATTCAGCATGATGATTTGCATGTTTTCTTGTTAAAGAGAAATGTGTTCTCCAAATAAAAGTAATTAAATTTGAGCATGAATGCTGAATCTATCACTTAACAGCTTTGGGAGAAAATCTGTTATTCTTAGTGAGACTTTGACATTTGGAATCTTAATTTCTTCATCTGTAAGGTACTAAAACAACCTGAGTTTCATTCTCAAGTTAATATGTAAATTGATTTTTAGTTGGGAACTTTGTAATTGTTAGTAATTAACATTTTAGCCATTTTCCCAGAATTAAAGTAATATATTGATTCATGAGATTTTTAAAGTTTTTTCAGTATCGCTTGTGTCCTAAATAAAAAACTTGAGGTTTTTTTTTCCTTTGTGGAGAAGAGAAGACTCTAATTAGTGGGACTGTGAACAAGGCAGTTTTCACAGAGACATTTTGTGGTGGATTAAGGGCAGTGTTCTGAGTTTGAGTCTTTTAATAAAATGTTAAGTCATGTTTTGACTTCTTCCTTGTTATCTGCAAATTGAAGTGATGTTTGATAATTCTGTGTGTGAGTGTGTTTAATAATTGCATATGTTACATATACTATATTCTTTCTCAGCCCAAATGATGCAGGGCCACTTGCCCTTTTCTGTGCAGATTTCAGTCCTCCTAAGACTAAAAACACATCTTATTGAGTTGCTGCTCAATATAAAACAGATGCTGCTCAAGAAGTCACTATAGAACTTGGGACATAGAGAAAGATAGTGGTGTAGAGGTGGTTGCTTTTCAAGTTGTTCTGTGGTGTGAGATCAGGAAAGCAGATAAACAGTGTCTCAGTGAAATGTGTGATGAGAGGGACTTTACTGGGATTTAAATACTGGACTCTTAGAATAGCTTAGGAACTCAGAAGTTTGGATATAATAAAAGAAAAGAAGAAAAATCCATAGGCCAGCTGGAGCAGATCTGTCTGGGGCAAATCAGGGAGGGGGAGTAGGAAGACCCACATTAAGGTGGCACTGTGGTGTGTCTTGATATGGAGAAATCAGAGATTAGGATACTGTTGGACTGATCCAGTGGGTGAACTATACTATATCCTTGTGAGGGAAAGACACCCAAGATGGGTTGTGGGTGTGTGAGTGGATGTGACTGGGTGCTCAGAGATTGAGCCCAGGAGGCTGGGAAGGGTAGGACCCACAGGTGGCTGAGGGAGAGGGGCAAAGGATTGGCTCCTGCACTGCACAAAGGGAACTCAGGGGAGACTCCCAGGGTGCAGACTCCCAGCATGGATTGGCAGCTGCCTGGCTCTGGAGGTGTGCTGAGTTAAAATCTTCAGAACAATCACCATTCAGCAAAGCATCAGGGTACTAAATAAACCTAAACCCTGCCTTTAGGAGCTCCACCTCTGGGAACTCCTCTCCCAGAACTCTACAGTGACCCCATCTTGAGAGTGAAGCACACTCTCCAAACTCCCCCACCTCATACTGCCCAGAAGAGAAGCCGAGAACTTTTGAACTCCAATTGGCAACTTGAGGAACAACACAAAAAGAGGAAGATTTGACAGACTGTGGCTACTATTCTTGTGCACAATACATACCTTAAGAAAAAAAAAGTGGAAAGAAAGACACTTGGGAGCAGACAACCAATATATATTATCATTGACAATTTTGATCACTGCAAGGGAAACAACTCCTTAACATTTTATCAAGAATATTTTCTTTATCTTTCTGTCTTTTTCTCCTCTCTCCTCTCTCTCCCCCACCCCCACTCTCTCTCTCCTTCTTTATTATGTGCTGAATGGTTCATGGACATTTGTACATATATATATATATATATATATATATATATATATATATATATATATATATATTTGTCTTACTTTTCTCATTTCTAGAATTTTTTGAAGGTAGTTAATTTTCATGTCTCTGTTAAGGGCTAGGGTCTTTGATTAGCATATTTTGGTTTGGTTTTATATTGTTGTTCATCTGTCCATTTTTCTTTATTCTCTTTTGTGGGGAGCCACAATGAATGACCCCACACTTCCAGTCCTGATGCCTCAGATTCTGACCAACTACTGCATTTTCTGTGGCTTGGGTAGGGTCTAGCTTGAATAGCAAGGGGTCTTCTTTGTGGAATGTGCCCTTATGGTTGAGTTATACTCACTTGTCCCTTGTAACCCTGCCCCTTCTGCCCTTTTTTGGATAGAACTTTCTAAAAAGAAGAGTCCTTCCAATAAAAATTCACTTCCAAACATTCTCTCTCTCTCTCTCTCTCTCTCTCTCTCTCTCTCTCTCTCTCTCTCTCTCGCCAGCCTCTCATGATTTTCTCTTGTTCTCCCTTTTGGGGAGCCTGAGGCCAAGAGCAGGGAAGCCATCCTTAAGCTTATGTAAAGGTAAATTGTGTCTGTGTTTTATTTGGTGTCCCTGCAAATTCAATAAGCAATCTAGCAATCTTAATTTCAGCTGCCCGAGTGCTGGTCAGGGGCAGCACTCTTTCTTTTGTTAACAGCCAAATTCTATTGTTCTCTTTTTATTCTTCCTTTAATTTTTTTACTTCTACTTTCTCTCCTCCCTCATAATCATCATATCTTACATCTCTTCTGCATTCTCCCTGTTTACCTTTTGAAAGAGCAGACCCTTTGAAAACTTATTGTTTTTACTGTTGGCTTACCATACAATTTCTGTTTATTGTGCTAATTAACCTTGTAGATATCATAATAGAAATAAGTATTTAGTTTAATGCTTTATATTGTTTGCATTGGTTGTTATTATTTGTCTCCCCCTAAACCATGAGGTACTAGAAATCTTCAGGGACACCATAAGTTCATAGTGTAGAAGCTCTGCCATGTTTGGGTAGACACACAAACAATAAGAAAAAGCAAGGGAATGAACCATTGGAAACAAACCAAAATACCTCATAACAGAATCCAATGATATCACAGTGAATAAAATGTCAGAGATGGAATTTAGAAAGTTCATAGTTAAATTAATCTGCAAGTAAAAGATTATATAAAGAGTAAAATCAGAGAGAGAAAAAAAACAGAAAGAGATAGATATTTGAAACAGAGCCAAATGGAAATCTTCCAAATGGAGAAATTGATAAACCAAATTAAAAAGCCAATGGAAAGCATCACCAACAGACTAGACCACTTGAAAGACAATGAAGACAAAATATATAATTCTAAAAATAAAGTTGACCATGGAGAAAAGATATTAAGAAACCATAAACAGAACTTTCAAGAAATATGGGATAACATGAGAAGGCCAAATTTAAGATTTATCAAGATAAATGAAGCCCAATCTTTCAATGAAATAATAGCAGAAAATTTCCCAAATCTTAAGAATGAAATGTAAAATTATATACAGGAGGCATACAGGACTCAAAACATACGAAATTACAACAGACTCACACCAAGTCACATTATTATGTATGTATGCTTGACATACAGAATAAGGATAAAATTTTCAAGTCTGCTAGAGAAAAACAGCAGGTCAGATTTAGAGGTAAGTCAATCCATATTTCAGCTGATTTCTCAGCCTAGACCCTGAAGCTAGGAGGTCTTATAATAATATATACCAAGCTCTGAAAGAAAATAGATCCTAACCAAGAATAGTATATCCAACAAAATTAAGCTTTAAATTTGAAGATGAAATAAAAATGTTCCACAATAAACAAAAGGTAAAATAATTCACAACTAGAAAGCCTGTAATACAAGACATATTCAATAAAATATATGATAAAGAATAAATGAAAAATAAAATTGAAAACCAACAGAGGAGGAGCTATAAGAAGAATGCTCAATTAAATGAGAAATTAATTCAAATAAAAAATTAGAAATTAATCAAAATGACAGGGAATAAAAATAATCTCTCAATATTAACATTGAATGTAAATGGCCTCAACTCATCAATCAAAAGTCATAGATTTTCAGAATGGATTAAAAAACAAGACCCAACAATATGCTGTCTCCAAGAGACTCATAGGCAACATCATCCACAGACTGAAGGTGAAAGGATGGGAAAAAAACATATCACTCACATGGATCACATAAACAAGCAAGGGTCTCTATCCTCATATAAGATAAAGTGGACTTTGAGCCAAAGTTAATGAGAATGGACAAAGAAGACATTTAACACTGCTTATGAGAGCATTATACATCAACAAAACATAACAATCTCAAATATTTATGCCCCAAACAATGGAGCATCTACATACATCAAATAAACCCTTCACAATTTCAAGAATTAAATAGATCATACAAAATACTTTATCTTACCTCTCTCACCACTCGATAAATCTTCCAAACAAAAACTAAATAAAGAAGCTATAGAACTAAACAGACATATATAGAATATTTCATCCATTCATGACTTTCTTCTCAGCAGCACATAGATCATTTTCTAAAAAAATCCATACTTTCTAAAAAATATGTTAGGCCACAAAGCAACTCTTAACAAATACAAAAAAATTTGAGATAATACTTTGCATTCTATCAAAACATAATTGAATAAAATTAGAAATCAATGATAAGATAAAAATAAAAGCTACTGCAACACCTGGGGACTAATTAATGTGCTATTGAATGATGAATGGATAGCAGAAGAAATCATGGTGAAATAAAAAAATTGTTAGAGGTGAGTGCAAATAATGATACAACATATCAAAATCTCTGGGACACTATGAAATCAGTTCTAAGAGGAAAGTTCATAGCATTGAGATCATTCATTGAAAGAAAGTCACCAAATAAATAATCTAAAATTATACCTTAAGGCTCTAGAAAAGTACAAATTAACACTCAAATCAGCAGAAGATAGGAAATAATTAAAAATCAAGCCAAAATTAGTGAAATTAAAATAACAAAAAAATTCCCAAAATCAATGAAAAAGTTTTAAAAAAATAAATAAAATGGATAAATACTTGGCCA